CCTGCACCCCAGCTCGCCCTGCACCCCAACCTCACCCTGCATCCGGCTCACCCTGCACCCAGCTCACCCTGCACCCCAGCTCACCCTGCACCCCACTCACCCTGCAGCATGGCAGAGGTGGTGTAGAAGTTGAAGGGCACGGCCTGCACCATGTAGTCGTCTGTGCTCAGACTCTCCAGTTTATCCCCCATCAGCACCGACTTGCCCGTGCCCGCGTTCCCCACCAGCATCACCGGCCACGACCTTTCCATGAGCAGGTCCATGAAGAAGCGGATGCGGATGGTCTCCGTGGTGTGGACCAGGGATGCCTGGGGGAGGGGGGCCTCTCAGACACGGCCTGAGCCTGGGTGGTGGTTAGAACAGCGCTTTAACCCCATCTTCACCTGCATGGACCGCTGGCTGTCCTGCTGACACTGGTCAGCATCTGAGCACCCCACCCGGCGTGTGGCTGGCTCGGGGAGATGGGAGGCCCTGCTCCTGGGAAGTTGGCGGTGGTCACCACCGGGAGTCACCTGCAGAGGGACGTCAGGGTCCAGCTCGAAGGCAGGCACCTTGTCCGTCCAGGGCAGGAACTTCTTGGTGTCTGGGTCGATGTAGTAGTCAAAGATGGTGCCTTGTGAGGGGAACTTGATGGTTTTGAACTCGTTGACCCACCACTTGCTGAACTCCACGCGGTAGTCCACGAGCTGCTCGGGGAGAGGACAGGGCCGCTAGGTGGGCCGCGGGGGGCCGCAGGGCAGCCAGAGCCCCACACCTGTACCCGCCGCCCACCTGGTCCTGGAACATGGCACCGCCGAAGGCCCAGAAGCAGGCGAACACGAAGTACAGCTCGTAGAGCTCCTTGGAGGAGTCGGGCGGCGTGTTCTTCTCGGTGAGCAGACACTCGAGCAGGTACAGGATGGTCTGGATGGTGGTGGTGTCGGGCACCGGCGTGATCTTCTTGAAGCCCACCCGCAGCTTGTCCAGGCAGGTGGGCAGGTACTTGTCGAAGAGGATCATCAGGTTGGCCTTCTCCGACTGCACCTTGCGCTGCTCGATCCAGCTGCTCACCACCCTGGCGGAGGGACCAGGCCCACGCTCACATCTCTCGTCCCTTCGGGGGGGCGGGGGGGCGGGAACCGGGACTCGCTGCCCCTGGTGGCTGTGGGTCCAAAGGAGGTGCTGATCCCCAGGGCCCTGTCATGGACCTTCCAGGGGGGCCTGATGTGGACACTGGGCAGCGGGAATGTGCTTGCTCCCCTGACCTGTGTGGTACAGTTAGTGCAGGACACTGGGGAGCTGTTCTTATCAAGAAGTAGGGAGAGAAGAAGGGGAGGAGGGAAGGAAAGGAGGGGTGAGAAAGGGAGGGGAGGGGAGGAGGGGAGGAAGGGAAGGTTGAGGAGGGGTAGACAGAAAAGAGGAGTGAAGGGAGGGAAGGGGAGAGAGGAGGGAGAGAAGGGGAGAGAAAAGGAGGGGAGGAGAGGAGAAAGGAGGGATGGGGAACAGAGGGGAGGGGAGGGAGGGAAGGGGCTGCACAGAGGGGCACTGGGCCCTCCCACTGAGTAGACTCCCTCATTTCTCTCCAGCGGAGCAGCTGATGCATTTGAACCGGTGACCTTTCTGTTAGCAGCCTGGCCTTGAAGGACGATGCACCCCCGGCTTTGGGAGAATCAAGAGGCCCAACTCACGGGTTCCAGCCCAGGTCGGCCGGGTTGATGTAGAGGATGCCGGCTCGGGAGACGGTGGCCGGGGTGGCCGTCCGCAGGTGGCTTATCTCAAACACCAGCCTCATGGTGCGGTTCAGGGGGATCCGTTCGTTGCTGGCCAGGGTGAGGACCTGCAGGGGACACAGGGTGAGGCTCTGCAGGGGACACTCGGTGGACTTGCTCGCCAGGTACAGCTTTATCATCACAGCTGCCTTGCCTATTCCGATCTGGGTTTCCCAGGAATTCTCAGCTCCTTCCCCACCCAACTGAGGGTCACTAGAGTTCTTCTAGGGGATTCTGGGCACCACGTGGGCCTCCACACACTCCTATCCTTTCTGGGTTGTGCCTAAGTGGATGAGAAAGCTTCCCAGGTCTTCACTCTTTGCCTAAGGAACTGGTTGGCACAGTGGTTAAGTACTTGGATGCCAGTGTAAAGGTCAGTGGTTAGAACGCACCAGTGGGGACCTCGGGAGTAAAGACTGCCTGTCTGCGTCTGTCAAGATTGTTGTTCGATGCCATCAGCGGGCTCTGACCTGAAGTGGTGCCATGTGTATCAGCACCTGCCTGGCCCGCAGCCAGCATGGTCTCTGTCTTGCTTGTGCCCACTGTCACGGCCACTGGCAGGTGACAACAATTTTAAGGTCGCATCCCTGCTGGAAAGGATTTCCTAGGCATGCCGGAACTTGGTCACCATGGAAACACCTGCGTTTCCACTTGTTGGTAACTGACACCTTTAGGAGTAGGGGTGGGGGTCCCCACAGGCCCCCTCACCCACACCCCACTGTGAGTAGTCAGCACCACCGAGGCTCCGTGGGGGTCTCCAGCGAGCTCCAGGGCCCACCTTGTTGTCGTCCATCACTGTGTTGAGAGACTCGATCCACATGGGGTCTATGTCGCCGTCCAGCACGATCCACTTGGGGCCGTCGTGGGTGATGTTGGCCAGGTCTCGCATGATGGTAGAGAACAGCCCTGCGGGAGGGGCGGTGTCACGAGGTGGGCCATGTGGGCGGTCACTCGTGTGTCATTGACGTGTTCAGCAGCCTCCTGGCCGCTGCGCTGGTGCACAGACATACCCACCAGGCACACGTGGCCTTCGCGGGCCCAGCAACACTGGATGGGGCTCCAGTGCTGCACGGGGCCACATGAGACAGGGGCCGTCAGCGCAGAGTGAGAGGATGCACGCAGTGGGGCTCAAGCAGGCCAAGAGGACCATACCTGCCTTTCCACACCAAACCCTCTGCTGTCACCCCGAGCCTCCCAGCTGCCCCGGCCCTGCCCCTGCCACCCCCACCCTCCCAGATGCCCCAGCACTGCCACCTGACCTTCCCAGCCACCTCAGCCCTGCCTGTGTCACCCCCACCCTCCCAGCCACTCGCCCCTGCCACCCTCACCCTCCCAGCCACCTTGCCCTTGCCACCCCCACTCTTCCAGCCGCTTCTGCCCCTACCTATGCCACCCCCGCCCTCCCAGCCACCCCAGCCCTGCCACCACCACCCTCCCAGCTGCCCCTGCCACCCTTACACTCCCAGCCACCTCAACCCTCCCCGTGTCACCCCCACCCTCCCAGACACCCTGGTCCTGCCACCCCATCTTCCTAGCCACTTGCTCCTGCCACCCTCACCCTCCCAGCCCCCCGCCCCTACCCCTGCCAGACCCACCCTCCCAGCTGCCCTCCCTCGGCCCTGGCCGTCCTGGCCGTTACCATCTTTCCACTCCCTGGTGGCCGGGTTGATGATACCGAAGAGCTCGTCACAGGTGACGGCCTTGGGGTCCAGGTCCACGGCCACTGGCTTCCTCTTCAGGTTCTGGTAGGTCTTGTTGAGGGACCGAAGGACCTAGACAGAGGCAGGAGGGAGTTCTCTCATGACAAGGATGCCACCCACCTGGGCACAGGGCTGCCACAGCCACAGGCCACCCGCAGGACCAGGGCACGTACGTGTGTGCAGAGAGTGTGTGAGTGCGCATGTGCGTGAGTCCACAAGTGTGTGCGAGAGCCAGCACATGTGCACAGGGTGAGCGAGTGTGTCCACTGCTCCCAACCACACGTGGTGACTCGGGGGTCTGTTCTCGGGCTGATGGTGGGGCTCTGCCCCCCGTGAAGAAGGGCAGAGGGTCCCCTACAGGTGGGCAGGTGCTGCTAAGGGCTCCTGTCTGTCAGCCGTGACCGAGAGGGCAGAGGGTGGAGTCCTCCAGGGGAGCCTCAGAGTAAAGGCCTGGAGATCTTCTGAAAGATCTGACAACGTGCTGAAGCAGGTTCTCTACTTATACAGTCTCCTTCCCCTGTGAGCACCACAGGCCAGGCAGCTCCCCCAAGCCCTTGGCTGTGTTCCTGGGCCAGGCTGGGTATCCCCCTCCTCATGCCCTCGGTGGGGGTCCTGGGCGGGCATCCCCCTCCTCATGCCCTCGGCGGGGGTCCCGCGTGGCAGGGCCTGTCAGGCAGGGTGCCCACCTGGGACTTGCCACTGCCTGCGTTCCCAATGACGAACACCGAGTGGCGCACTTGCAGCAGTTCCTCCAGCTGCACGACCTTCAGGACAAAGCTGTCCTCCGCCTGCAGCTTCAGCTCCAGAACGCTCTGCTTGATGATCTGTGGACACAGGGGGTTCTGTCCAGGGTGCAGCCGCCAGACCAGGAACCTGGGCTGAGCAGGACCCCAGGGGCTGAGCTGCCCAGAACCAGGATGACCAGAGCAGGGCTGGCCGGTGCAGGGCTGGTCATGCAGGGTTGACCAGAGCTGAGTCCCACGGGACAGTACCATGTTCTGAGAGCTTGTACCACCAGCTCCAGCGCAGCCTTGATGCTGCAGGGGGTTTGCCCCCATCACTCCCTGCCCCCGGTCCTGGGGGACCCCCGTGCTCACAGCACGGTGAGCAGGGCTGAGAGGCAGCTCTGTGACCCTCAGTGACTGGCAGACACAACCACTCCTATCTGCCCCCCAGACTCCAGGCACCCACCCTGCACTTGGGGAAGGGGTGGTGCTGCGGGGCATCAAGGGTCCCACCTTTTCAAAGTTCAGGTCTCGCTTCCGGGGCACGTCCAGGGCAGGGAAGAGGTCCCCAATGAGCCCCATGAACACGGGCAGGTCGTCCGTCACGATCTTGGGGATGTTGAAGTCACGCAACGCCCTCATGAGCACCTGGTCCTCGGCTCGGCTGGGGTCCCCTCTCTTCAGGGAGCCGGCCACCACCAGCACCGACTTGATAGCCCGCAGACCCCAGTCATAGTGGTCCTGCACGGGTTGGGGACAGTCAGATGTGTGTGAGTGCCTGTGTGTGTGTGACAAGCACCCCACCTGCCTCCGGTGGGCCTCCCTACACTGGCTAACAGATCCCACCCATGCTCACAAGGCAGAACCAGGATTGGGGACCCAGGACAAGGACAAGATGTGGACAGGGGGTCAGGAGAGGGCCTGGGCTGTGGGCAGAAAGCCAGGTGGAAGGACAGGCCTGAAGACTCTGGCACCAGAAGCTGAGACACAGGCAGACCCACTAGATTAATGAAGAACTGGCCAGCATGCTGGTTTGAAAGCAGCTCTGACCCTATGTGTGGCCACTTCCCAGGCCCAGGTTTGTGTAAAGGGGCACTGTGAGGGCACACCCGCAGCGTGGAGCCACCCTGCTTCTCGGCTGTGTGAGCCAAGCACCATGGGGGCACCCCTGCCATACGTGGTCACTTCCCACTCTTAGCTCTGTGTAAAGTGCCCTGTGAGCGCACAACCGGCCATGTGGGGTCACTCCCGCCTCCCAGCTCTGTGTAAAGGGGCTCGTGCTGAGTGGGGTCAGCCCTCGGCTCAGTTTCGTGTAAAGAGGTACCATGAGCAATGGGGTGCCATGAAAGGCCACCGCCCATGCCCAGCTCTGTGGACCGGGTACCATGAGCAATGGGGTGCCATGAAAGGCCACTGCCCATGCCCAGCTCTGTGGACCGGGTACCATGAGTAAAGGGGTGCTATGTGAGGCCATGCCTAGTTCTGTGGACCGGGCACCGTTAGGGCACACCTGCTGTGAGGACACACCTGTTTAGAGAGCAGCTCTTTACACAAGGTGTACAGTGTGATGAACTTCCGGGCCAGCAGGCGGGCTTCCAGAAAGCCCTCGGCTACCAGCATGATCTCACAGATCAGCTCAAAGTCGGGAACCACCATGGCGCAGGGCCTGAGAGACCGGCCTGTGTGTCAGAGGCATCCCCCACCTTCGGGATCCCTTGTCCACTCCCTGACCTGTCCTTCCTCCCTCCAGGACTCCAGGGGGAGCCTGTTTTACCAGCCAAGACTGTGGGAATGTGAATCCAGGTCCTGCCTTCTGCCCCTTCTCCTCCTCGGTTCCCCTGATCCCCTCATTCTCTCTGCAGCTCCTTCCCCTCCAATTCACTCACCTCCCTCCCTGCTCCTGTGTGCCCCCACTCACTGTATCCCCAGGCCACTCACTCCCTTTTCTAATCTCCCCTGACAGCTACCCTGGATCCTAACCCCCATCTTATCTTGCAGGGTGGACCCTGCCTCGTTGGGGGACATCCTCCCGCTCCAACCTCTGATGGTTTCTATATAAGGACCAGGAGCAGGGACATTGCCCACTCTTCAGTCACCTCCAGTCTCCCCTGAATGACCGCTCACCTCCTGCCACCCTCCCTCTCTGCTTCCTTGTCCAGCACCCTCCTCCGCCCCACAAGATCTGGGCAGTGACAGGCCGGCATTGGCCAGACCTGGGCCATCCACCTGAACAAGGCCTTGAGATTCTCAGGCAGCTCCGTGCGCCCCGCATAGCCAGGGTTCATGGTGATGAAGATCCCCACGGTGGGGATGAGGCTGATGACCTCCCCCAGGAAGCTGAAGGTCTTCTTCTTGGACCGAATCGCATCTTGGACACATTTGACCTGGACGGTGATACACGGGCCCACAGATGTCAACACCTGGGTCCACCGGCAGCTCCCAGTGTTAACGTGCATGGCTGGGAATCTGTAGAGACCCTGCTTTGTCTAATTACTCCTCTGTTATTTTGTTTTTGCTCAGTATGTTCATAGCAGAATGTACACAGCACCTTCACCTAAGGCTCTTATCTAACCTTTTGAGTTGCTGTGGTCCATTGGATTCCATACAGATAGGTCTTAAGAGCACCTGCTCAAGGCTGCCATCCTTCGCTAACTCAGTTAAACTATTGTGGGGTTGGTTGGTTGGTTGGTTTATTTCTTTTTGTGTGCCATCGAATCAGATCCGATTGGCACAAGAGGAGATTGCCCCTCCTTGTCCAGCAGAACATCTGGTGGATTTGAACCTTGCACTATCAGGATTGTAGCACAGCTTCTTGCCACTAGGCCACCATAGCTCCCTTTAAACTATAGTTTGATTTTATGAAGGGGACATTTTTTCATTGCAGGGTGATGAGTGACCTCAGGGTAAAAGTTTAGGGGATCACCCAGCCTCCATGAATCCAGACAGATCCTCCGTGGATCTCTGAATTCCAGGAGAACTTGAAATTCTGTTCTTCACCATCGTCTATTTTTTACATAACACTTTTGAGAGTGTATATTACTCAAAACCAAGCCTAACCCATAGTCACTGAGTCGATTCTAATGCACAGTGACCTGCAGGGCAGAGCAGAATGGGCGATAGCGCGCCCAAGGCTGTGCTCTTGACCATGGCTCTGACGTTGCCTCTATTCAGTGTCACCGTCTGGTTGTCAGCCAGGTTTCTGGGGTCTGCAGTCTGTCCCTGACCACCTAGGACGGTGTACCACACCCTCCGGTCTCCAACAGCACTAACTCCATTGAGGACTGGTGAGGCGCAGTCCCCTCTGACTCATGGGGACCCCGTCCACAGCGGAGTCACGCCAGTGTTCTCCACAGAGCATCCACTTGGTGCTTTTCAGACCACCAGGCCTTTCATTCCACTGTCTTTGTCTGGAAAACGGAAACCAAGCCTGACCCACTGGCGTTGAGTTGATTCAGGTTTGGAGAGAACTGAGCATGAGCAGAACTCCCTCAGGGGGCTTCTAAGACTGTACCCTTTAAGGAGACAGACCACCTTTCCGCTCCAGAGCGGCTGGGGGATTTGAACTGCTGACATTTTGGTTAAGAGCCAAGCTGCACTGCCTGGACTTCTCCGTCTACAGTGTCTGTGGCACCTGCAACGTGCAAGCCTCCCATGGCTGCCGGCCGTCCACTGCCTACAGAGGCCGCTACTCTGTTACACCACGACTTCCTGTCCAGCAGGTTGGGGTATGAGTCCAGTCCGCGTTTCCTCTCAGACCTGTCCAACCTGTCACTCACCCTGGAGCCTGCTGAATGCGGCCTCGAACCTCCACACCACCACTGGAAAGTGCTCCCACACTCGTGTTAACAACATTCTTCAAACTCTCCACTTTGCCTCTCGGCCAGCAATCTGCCGAGTGCTGGGACCTCTGTTATTCTGGACTTTCCTGATGGGAGCAGGTCTGTAGAGTGTCACCTATGGCTCACACGGGGCAGGGGCCAGGGCCCGGGGGCATGGAGTTGGGAGCCAAGGCTGAGGGCCTGAGAGTCCAGAGGTGGGGGCTGAAGTTAAGGTTAGAGATTGGGTCTAGAGCCTGGGGCTGGGGCTAAGAACTGAAGACTAAGGACTGCAGCTGGGAGCTTGGGGTTGGGGACTACAGTTGAGGCTAGCGATTGGGTCTGGGGGCTAGGACTGGGGAGCTAGGGGCTGGGGGCTTGTGGTTGGAGCTGAGGATCAGGTATTGGGGCTAGGAGCTGAAGGCTGGGAGCTAGGGGTTGTGGCTGAAGACTAGAAAAGAGTCAAGATGTGGAGCATACCCCCAAGAGATTCAACAAGAAAATCAGAAAAACTTCTCCATTTTGATCAAAGATTTATAGAAAAATCTTAACCAAAAGGGGTGAAATGCAGAACATAATTAAAAATCCTCATGGAATCCAGACATTTTGAAGCTATGGAGGCTGGATGAACCCAAGAAACTATGGCCACAAGATCATCTCTAAACCATAAACCAAAAACAGACGCTGATATCAGCTCTAAACTAAAAATAATTTAGCTTAACTGGTAAAAACAATCTGCTTTTTAAAAATCTATGCATATCTATCTTTTAAAGACCTATTTACATATTTCTCCTCCCCTCCCTCTGCTCTCCCAGCACCCGGTCCAACTCCTATTCATCCTTCAATGCCCACCCCACAAATGAGCATCAATCTCCTCAAGATAATGAATGATGCCCTTGTCTCCGTTCAGTTACAGATGTGGCTCCTGGCCTGAATTTTACCCATTTCATATGTGTTTGCCCAGCTGGCTGTGGACCCCTGGCAGACAGGTGGGTCTCACTCATCTTTGTGCCTGGTCTTCCCTCATCACTTCACAGTGACCAGCTGGTATGAAGGGCTGAGGAGGGTTGGTGAGATGGACTAGCTTCCCTAGGGCGAGGTGATGGGAGAGGGAGGTGTTGGGAGGGCGAGGTGATGGGAGAGGGAGGTGATGGGAAAGCTGCTGGCCACTGGCTTGCCGGGCACTGTGTAACCATCTCAGAGCTGAGGCGGCGGGCCCTGCCCACCTGCACTGCGATGACAGACAGGACCTCCACAGAGATGCGGTTGAATTCATCGAAGCAGCCCCAGGCTCCAGTCTGCGCCAGACCCTTGTAGATGTTTCCGCAGGACTAGGAAGGGCAGGGAGGAAAACACCTCAGGACCAACAATCATCAAGAAAACAATATCCTCACCCACCACTGGGCCAATAAGCAACATTCCAATCAACCAAAGATTCCCTTTTACTTGGGTCCACAAGAAGCATTCATGGAAGCAACAGGCAGGAAATAAAAAGACATGATGCTTTAGGCAAATCTGTTGTTAAGGATCTCTTTAAGGTGTTGAAGACCAAGGATGCCACTTTAAAGACTAAGGTGTGCCTGGTCCAAGCACAGTATTTTCTTTTCTTTCACTTTTCACTTTTTTAAAAATTAATTTCAATGAAAATTTACAGACTTTGGATTTCCATTCATTCATTGTTGTACTTTTCTCCCCTCCCAACCCTCCCCCCTAGTATACTCCCCTCTTGGAAAAGTAAAAGAAAAGTTCTTTCATTGTTTTACAATCCCTCCCCCAGGTCCACCCCACTATGCAGCCTTCGCTCTGGACGCCTGTCCTGACAACAAGTCACAGCATTTTCAATTGCTTCATCTGCCTCTGAAGGTTAGACAACGAGTCAGGAAGGCTAAAGAAGAAATTCTGCCTTTGAACTGAGATGCTGGAGAAGAGGGCTGAGTGGCTCATGGAGGCCGAAAGATCAAACAAGTCTGAGAGGAAGCTCAATCAGGCTGCTCCTTAACGGCAGGGATGGCGAGGCTTCACTTCATACACTCTGGGCATGTTGTCGGGGGTGGGAGGCGGTCAGTTCATGGAAAAAGACCTGATGCTGGGAAAGTAGGGGCTCAGTGCAAAGGGCCCCCAGGGAGCTGGACTGACAGTGACTAAAGCAATGGGCTCAAGCCTGGCACATGTGAGGCTGAAAGAGCTTGAGGCAGAGTGTTGATCTGCGTACACAGGGTCCCTGCGATCCGGAGCCAACTCCTGGGCACCCAGCGTGGTGGAAGAGGGCTGGGCTGAGCATCAGATCAGGGTCTTGGGCCTTCGGGAAGCAATGGTGGTTTGGCACCCTCTCTGGTAGACCTGATAGTTCAGGGGACTGGGTGGTGACCCCACAGCCGCATCCTTAGAACAGCCACCTCACCAAGGTCCAGCCATGAAGGAGAAGCTCAGATTGCACCTTGGTTCCCTGGCCCCTCTCCTTGTGCATGGACGTGGGGGTTCCCCAGGGTGGGTGCTTCTGTGAACACAGCAAAGACCTTCCTGATTCTCACGTCCCCGAGACCCCAGCCAGACCCTCAGGACACTTTCTCAGCATTTACAAACAGGACCCGGACATGAGGGGGTGGGAGTGGGGTGACTACAGAGGTCATGACCCTGAAGACCCACCCAGGAGCTGGGCTTTATTTGGCCTTGACCATCTGCAGAGGCTTCTGGACCATTCTCAGCCTCAGGTTGAGTCTCCCTCTGAATGGGGACACAGATACAGATGGAGGGGACCAAAGCGGCCCCAGGTTCCTGCTTCCTGCCCGTTCCTACCCTTCAAGGCTGAAAACAGGTGCTGGTCACATCTCAGAGCACACGTGAGGCCCCTCTCCCTGCCCCCCAGAGCCTCACAGGTTCCCTTGAGGGGCTGGCAGGTGGGGGCCGGGCGTGGGGGTCCGGAAGCCTCTCACAGTGCGTTCCAGGAGCCAGCCCAGTGCGCACGGATGCTGTCAACATGTGTGAACATGCTGTCCACCCTGGGCTGGCCATAGTGCCAGGCGGTCAGGGCTTGTGAGGGAGGAAGAGGCCTTTGGGGCGGGAGACTGACGTCTCAGAGCCCGGGTACCCACCTTGTAGTCCATCTGCTCGGAGCAGTTGAAGACGTACACCATGGTGCCCAGTGCCCGGCCCAGGTCCTTCGTCGTCTCAGTCTTGCCGGTGCCAGCTGGGCCGGCGGGGGCTCCCCCCATGATCAAGTGCAGGGACTGAGTCAGGGTGATGTAACACCTGCAAAGGACGGCTGGTCACCTCCTGAGTCCAGACCCCTCCTGAGTCCAGACCCCTCCTGTGTCCATACTGCTCCTGCGTCCACACCCCTCCCGTGTCCAGAACCCTCTTGCGTCCAGACCACTCCTGCATCCAAGATCCCCCCTTCTGCTTCCAGACCCCTCCTGCGTCCAGAGCCCAGCCACCTGCTCTCTCCCACCCAGTGGCTTCTGTCTGTCCTGTGTCTGGCTGAGCCCCGCCCCACTCACAGCCCCACTCGGGGCAGCTGGTCCACCAGGAGCCTGGGGAGCACAGCGTGCACTCAGGTTCTTGGCTGCTTGATCACTGATGTCAGTTGCTGTTGTTGTGTACCCTCAAGTCAGAACTGACCCACAGCTGACCCTCCGGTGGATAGAGCTGTCAATCCCAGCTGACTGCCCGTCTTTCTTCCCTGGAGCAGCAGCTGGTGGAGTCAAGGCATGTGCTCTGGGGGTCACAGCAGAATCCCTTGCCACTCAGCCACCAGGGCCCCCTGAGGTTGGTGGAAGTGACCATGTCTGCCTTTTTACCTTATGTGAGTTCCGGCTTTCATAGGTTTGAATGTTGACAGTAACTATTTAAGGTGATTGGCATTGACCATGATAGAACAACAAGCCCACTGATAGGGATTCATGGACCGTCATGCCCTCCTGTGAGCCTCTAGGGATCTCTCATGGTCCCCCTGGAGGCAAAGATGGTGACGCTTCATCTCACATACTCTGGGCATGTTGTGAGGGGACTAGTCCTGGGAAAAGGGTATCGTGCTTGGGAAGGTGGAGGGGAAGACCCTTAAGCAGATGGACTGGCACAGTGACTGGGTTCCCACGTGTCAGCAGTGCCAAGATGCCACAGGAGAGGTCAAAGGCCAGTTTCATTGTTCACCGGGTCGCTATGAGCCCTACTCAACTCGATGGCACCTGACAACAATAAGACACCTAGACGGTGTTAGAACGAGGACACAGAGCCACTCGGGCCAGGTGGACCCACAACTTGGTCCTTCCAGCTTAAATCACTGGCCGTGGAAGGCACTGTGGGGATGAAGCCAGGGAGAAGTGTCACCCCACTCCTGACAGGGACATGGCAGGTGACCGCACTCAGGTCCTGGGACTGAGTGTGCCCACCTGTCTGTGCAAAGCACTGTGGGGAGGAGCCCAGTGGACACGTGTCTCCCCAACCCTGGCCTGGTCAGGATCAGGGCAGATGGGCTCCCTCAAGCCCGAGACGGAGGCGGCCGGCGCTGCCCACCTGTCCGTGAGCGGGGTGATGACCAGCCGGGGTGTGTTGCCCAGGTACTCGTAGGAATACTGGATCTGAGCGTCGCAGATGTTGGCGAAGCAGTGCTGCTTTGTCTCGTCCCAGCGATGGCGGAGCTGAGACTGCCAGGTGAACGCCTGCGAGCTCTCCACCTGGAGGACAGCAGGGCTGCTGGCCACACAGAGCTGGGGGCACAGCTGGCGGGGGACGCCGGCTCACGCACATCCTAACCACCGCCCCTGGCTCAACCTTGCTAAATGACCAGGACCCCCAGTCTCATCCTCATCCGACCACTGTCCGCTGCCTTCCGGGATGAGTCCTGTTACCAAGTGGGGCAAGGACGTGGCCAGAAGACCGCTGGGAGGGCAGGCCTTACTTCCACCTCCCAGGAGAGGGCAGAAAAGGGGTCCAAGTCCTAGAGTAGTTAACTGGGACCCAATTACACCCCAGCCCTGTCTGTTCACCCAAAGCCCTCTCCATCCTCCCCAGTCTTCCCAGCCCTCCCCACTTACCAGCCCTCCCCTTCTTCCACAGCCCTCCCCGTCCCCAACCCTCCCTGCCTCCTAGCCCTCCCAGTCCTCCCCACCCGCCAGCCTTCCCCATCCCTTAATGTCCTCCCCATCATCCCC